ACTGGAACTTGGTAGGGAGATATGTATGTAAAATTATACTCACCGAGAAAAATAGACTAACTGAAACTTTCATCTCGCATATCTCTAAGAGTACTTGGGGTAGAGTACTCAATAGTGTGATCCAAAACAGTAAAGTCGGAATTGTAATGCTCTCACCCCCTAGGTTTGTTCTATATCGAAAAAAGTATACCCTATTTTTTATTTTTAAATCAAAAAACATTTAGAGGTCGCTCAAAGCGCTCAAAGTTTTTCATGTATTTTTATAAGGGAAAAATAAATTCGTTCGTAGAAAAGGTATAGAATTCTTGAAAGTCAATATTTTTCGATCAGAAAACTCTGGTTCTCTTTAGGAGACTTCCCGTAATAATACCCACTTGCTTATTTAACCATTTTTTAATACTAACGTTTTTTTTATTGGTCGCCCCATTGCATTTTTCGGGGTTTTTGTGGGCTTTTGGCGGACCTATAAATTATAGTTGCAATGAAAAAATGGTTAAATGAACAATTGAATAGAAAATCTCTGGAAGTATTTTATATTTGTCATGGAGATTTTTTTTTATCAGTAACTTACTGACAGACAAAATTTCAGCTAACAGATTTTGGCGAAATTTGAGTAGCTATCGCTAATAAACGAAAGGTGATATAATGTTCCATTTAGGCCTGAACTTTCGACTACATCCCCCCGAAAACACCATTCCGGCACCTTGAGTCTTAGGTCACTTATAGTCATTTATTGAACAACAAAAAGTGATTTTTGGCAAAATTTTACTTTTTTTCAATAGCACAATTTTGCAGAATTTTTTTTATTGTTCAATAAATGACTCTAAGTGACCACCGGGTCAAGCAAAGTACAGGGATGGTATTTTCAGGGATAGTAGCCATGAGTTCTAGCTTTGATTTAGGCCTAAGTGAAAGGTTCAATCACCTTTTGTTTCTTTGCTAGGAGTTTCTCAAATATTACAAAAACGCGATTTTTTACACGTTGACCACGTTTTTCTCAAAATATGAAGCTGATAGAAACTTTATACTTACATACTTCGTAATCAGCTCAAAAAAGCCTATCAAAACCAGCAGTTGAGGTTCCAGATTCCGATAAAAAAAATTAAAGAACTATCGAAAATGATGCATGTCGTCCAAAGTTACACATCAACATACGGTGGCGAGAATATAAATAGAGAAGAGACATTTTGGCTATTTTTCCTTGTTCAAAAAATTTTTATTATTTTTTATATTTAGTCTCTAAATAAAACCTTGTAAATCAAAATTACAAACATAGCAGAACATTTATTAAAATTCAATGGGTTTTAACAAATGTTCACCAAATTTTTAAACTTTTTGATCAGATTTGTTTTAAACGGCTACATTGATGATTTTTGGTCATTTTTTGGTCACGCATTTTCTTGCATTTTTTGTATGGAGAAAATCCGCAACACCTGCCATATAAAAAATTGCCAAAAATCAGGGGTAAGTCCTAGCTGCTTAAAATTTGTATCTCGTAAATATTATTTAATGAAATTAAATGGGCTACGAAACTGCGTACTCAGAATGTTACTAAGAGACCTAATTAAAAAGCACATAATTTTGATGCGACTTTGTGTAATTTTTCTAATTTTATACAAGGTTTGAAATTTTCACTTGCATGGTTTTTGTTGGATAACGAGCTACGCTTAAAAAAATAGAAATAATACTAATGAACATCAAATAAATAAAATAGCATCAAATAATGCTAAAATGTCTCTACTCTGATTATATTTTCGCCACTGTACATAAAAAAAAAGAAAAAATATTTCGATGAATTAATAATCTCCTCTGGTTTTTTAAATCCGCTAAAACGAGTTCGCAATTCAGGAAGAGACTTGTTTATTTATTCTTCCATTCTAATTATCTATGCATATTGCTGTAAGTAGCATAACACATACGTGATATTAATATTGTTAACGAATGTGACAAATAGGATGAAACGCAAAGACTTCGGGCAACAAAACACCTTTTATTAGCTGTCTAAGCGAACTTTTTCCTAATTCAAATGACAGAAAGAATAAAATTTTCTCAGAAAGCCTTAAGTCAGTTAAAAGAGTCATCTCTGACTTTTTTTTGCAATACCAGTTCATTACAAAAGAAACTGATTGGAAACTTTTCTAATTAGCAACTTCATATGCAGCTTTAGACAAATTCTCAAAGGAAACAACAAACAAACAACATTTTGAAGTGCAAACAAGATACTGTGAATAAGAATATATGTACTTATGTATATTCAATTGCACTTTTGTGTGTAGTTAGAGAACATAGGAAACCACTTACTAAGATTGATAAAATCTACAGAACAGCATCTACAAGCGAGCGATCAACGCAATTGCGATGCTCAACTCAAAGCATTTGCAAGCTTACTAAATCCACAAGGACTATTTAATAACTTTCAATTGGAAAACATAGAAAAGATAGGAAGGTAAGCAGAGCAACCGTAGCAAAAAGGGTTCAATTGAAACTTTATATGTATTATTTAAGCTGAACGCGGCGTCAAAGGCTTCAATCAGTGCAACTGAAAACAAAAAAAGAAATAAGTGAGCAAAAGAAGGAAACTGAAAATGAAGCGGTGTGGCAAAAGGAACAAAGTTTTAAATCAAGAGGGAGTGATGCGTTGTAG